GAAGGTTGCTGGAGTGCTTCCAGTGCAAAGACAGAATGACCTGTCTGCGACGAGACAGGGCTAGTACAGGGCTAGTGTGATCTCCATATTCGACCGTAATTAGAGATGTCAGATCTGAGAGAGTAGATTGACCTATGTTGCGGGTGATTGGAAGTATTTCTGGAGGTTTGGTACAGCTATGTGCCTTTTCAATGTCCTCCTTGCAATCATTGCAGTCTGAGCGCACAGGCCAGGGGTACTTTAGAAAACTTTGATGTACAGGTGGAAGCCAGAACTAGCCGCAGCTTCACACGGATTTCAGACGGTAATGCAATTACGATACGTCTACATAAGTCTCGTCAAGTCGTGGGCTTAGTGGAGACATAGTGGAGCATTTTTACAGTGCGGCCGACGATAAGGTACGCTTCTGCTTACCTTCAGACAGGCATCCGGTGCTTATTGGCTGTCCAACTGTCTTTCATCCTGAATCGGCTCTCCGTCCGAACAGCACAAAGATCATTTTGGTCAAACATGGTAGTCATGACTCAACGGAGAGGCCCCGGTGTTCATCCGTTCCTGCCGTAAGCCCTTTCTAGAGTAATCAATTTAGGTCCCCTGCCAGTACTGTGTGCGAGGCTCCAGGTATTCGCACTGTCATCAAGAGTCCGTGCGCTTGGAGATTCAAAAGAGTTTAATCCAACAGGACATGCTTTTTGCACATAGCTGTATAATTGTAGATTGCTACGCTGAGTGGTCTCACGTCGGCTACGTACAGTATGTAGTGGCACAACACAGAGACTAGTACAGTACAGTACCGATCATGCCTTGAAGTTCTCAGTATGCTGTCACTTGATTTCTCCGTGCAAAAGTGACCGAGATACGTTGTGAACGGACTTCTGCGGCACAAGTTGGAGGCGTGTCATAGCTTGATTGTTGTGGAGGCCGTTGCTGATTTCTGCCCCGTTCTTCGGAGTCTTCTCCTTGTGTAGGGCAGGTTGCATTCTGTAACCTTTTGATTTTGCTTTGCATGAACTGAGAACACGCCGCATAACTCCATGGCCCCGAGACTGCCTTTCTTTCTAAACGCCAGTTTGATCCGACCGATGTTCCATTGTACAAGGCTCACCGATCTACAGTAGAAGTCGAAGTCGGACGCGACTGACACATCTCAGACTTGGTGGTCGGTAACGACAATGGCATTCTGTTTTGTGGTCAACGAGCCCACAAGGGGCTTCTGCTCAGCCAAGAACAAGTTAGCTGGTTTGACTGGGGCATCGTGATTAACTAGGGCGACAACGAGTGGTTACCGGTGCATTTAGATCGGCCACCCTTATTTCATCTATGGCACTATCGTCACAGACTATGATGGAGAGTAGGCTATTCCGTGATCGTTGATGAGCGCTGTGAGCTGTTCGAGGACGTCTGACGATTTCAATGGAGGCATCGAGAAAGTGAAGTAGGATCGTCCACTTAGGCTAAGCAAGGCATTATTGCCGTCGCTAATAGAAGTTATTACCTTGGCCTTTCTGGAGCATTCATTCATGAGAACGAATGATTTGCGGTCGTCATGCCAAACGGTTGCCAATCTGCATTCTTCATTAGCTATCTCCCTGTCAAAACCCGGCGACTTATCACTCCCACGCTGTGCATCTGGTCAATTCTTACATGTACGTTCATGATGCAGCTCGTTGTAACTCTTGCTCCAGCAAATATGGCTATGAAAATTCTGAAATCAATGTTGATGCCGGTGATCGGTTTCTTGGGTCGGGGTATTACAAGGGGAAAAGGACGAGTCATGCTGTGAATGAACACCCCGTAGGCTGAGCTTTGTTGATAAAAAGAGGAAGAATAACGGGAGAACTCACGATCGGAATGACGTAGAGATTTTGAATGCCCGTTAGGTGCCCGTGGGGAGACTCCTAGCTCCAGTCACATATTTCTTTTGCTGGAGAAGGACTAAAGCCATGCCATATTCAGGCTGTGGTTCGAGCTGGCTCTGCCATCCGCCAAAAGCTGCTTGCATGGACTATCGGGCCTCTACGAGTTGGGCACATCACGCTGGAGATGTGCGCCGTTCCAAGGAGGTTCGATTCCGTGCCGGGGGTTGAAGTTTTCTCCCGGGATGCAGATACGAGCATCTGACCGCATCGCGTCAGCAAGTGTGTTCAATCGTGAGACCTTCTCTGTCGTCTGCGATATGTCAGCGTCTTGCAGTGAATCCAACGGTATGTAAAGGTGAGTCGAAGCGACGATGTGAGTCAATCAGCGGAGGTGAATTCGATGAAGCAGTTCTTCTATTGTTGTCGAAAAGTTGTCCAGCTTCAACTACGCATTCCATTCACGAAGTTCACTGACGCAAGGGGTCTTCCACCTGGCACCGTGTGTGATGGCAAGCGATGGCCATTACATCACCTGCATACCTTAGTCCATCCACAATGTCCTGATCAAAATTTTGATCACAGTGCTAGTCGCGATTTCATCTTACGCCGGGTGATGGAGATCACGGTGCTCCCAATCTGGAGACAAACGGATCGACGTTGAAATCCTGCTAGATCATTGGTCTAGTGCATCTGATGTGCTGCCCTATTATCTCGTCAGCCAATCACATCCCTTGTCTAACCAAGAGCGCGAAACTTGCGGGAGATCTAGCACATGCGGTCAAGGGATGCTCCTTGTTAAAACTCTATCACAAACGGATACTACACAGCAGATGTTTGACGTGACAGTCACGGGAAAGTGCATCAGAGGCTGATCTCTATGAGTTCCGCATGGCAGTATCAAGGACCTAGGATGGCGCCAACCAAGCGCTTCTAATGGATGATTTCCACGCATCTTGCGAACGAATTTCGAGGAAGAAAAAGGGTTGCAACTGTCTTGGAATCGATTCGTATGCTGGCATACACTACACCCCGCGACTTTCATGCTACTTGCAGCGTCGGTCGCTAGTGAAGTAAGCGTGGGGTTTGACGTCCCCCTCGAACCACGCTCAACTCCTGGAGCCGTGAATACTTCCGCGGCCCGTCACCTGAGTGTGCAACGCGTGCTCAGTTCGTAGGCGTCTATCCATTGACGCGCTCCTGATGAAGAGACTCATCAAGAGCGCCAGTCCGGAGACGCCGACATACAATCCATAGACGCCACGCAGGCCGTAGACGTACGCATCTACGATCTTGGATCGCAGCCCAGCGTCGCCGACAGCGCTCAACATGGCGGATAGAGCATGGGTACCTCCGTGCGTCCCTGCGGGTGCCAAGCCATCGTCTTCCAACTTGCGCAGCACCACATTCTGAAAGGTGGAACCGCCCACGCCGACTCCGAGTGCCATGCCAAACTGTCGGAGAAAGGCATACATCGCTGCGGCGATGGCTTCGTCGTCCTTGCCGCAGAGAGCTTGCGATGCCATGTTCTGTGCGTTCAAGATGCAGCCATGGCCAAGACCAAGGAGGACGAGCGTCGGCGCCCATACCTTCGTTGGCGTGTCGACATCCCACAGCATCATCAGCCCGGAGGCAATCGTAGCCAGAGTCCAGCCGACCCAGATCGGCCACTGGTAGTTGTCGAGTACCGTGACGAGTCGACCGGTGATGATCGATACCGGCACCAGCGTGAACATGACCGGGAAGAGTGCGATGCCGGTCTGGACCGGGGTAAAGCCTTTGACGTCCATAAAGTAAAGGGGCACGTAATAAAGCTGCCCATACATCTGCGGTTGTTGTCAGCATGTCCTACTGCGCGATTCATGACAGGCCATCCTCACCACGAGGCCTTGGATGGCGCCGCAAGCATACGTCGCGACGGAGCTGGCGGTTTGGAAAAGTCGGCGCTGCAAGAACGGTAAGGCTGCGAAGCGTGACTCGTAGATCATAGTCAGCGCCATGCCGAGTACCCCGAGCAACAACGGTGCAAGAGTGCCGGCGCTGCCCCAGCTGTAGCGCAAGCCTCCCCAGGAGACGGCCACCAACAACAAAGTGGCCGAGCCAATAAACAGAGAGTTTCCTAGCCAGTCCATCTTCTTTAGTTTCTCCCGTACATCGTCAGCGGAGGATCAATATTAACTAGCCACGGCACGAGAATCAGTCCGGCCACGCAAAATGGGAACATGATGTAGAAGACCCAACGCCACGTTGTGTGTTGAGCAATGACGCCGCCCAGTATGGGCCCAACGCAGTTGCCCAATGCCCATGCTGCCTGTCTGAACGGGGTAAGCGAAGGTGAACATGCGTTCGAGGGGGGCACTTACACTAAGCCGTACCACGTTGGCCGAACGGGCAAAGGGACGAAGTCGGTGAAAATCAACAGGCACAAGACGATGATGCCGGCACCGCCCACGCCTTGAAGAGACCTCCCAACCAACATGAAGCCGATCGAATGCGCAACGCAGCAGAAGATGGTACCGAGAGCGAACAGGGCGACCGAGACGGTCAGACATGGCCGCCTACCGAACACGCGGCTTGCGTCCGAAATGAACAGCATCATTACGGCGTTCGCCAGGAGGTACGCCGTCCCTATCCAGAAGCCATCGTATGTGCTGAGCGCGAGGTCCGCCACGATGGCCTGTGATTGTTAGTTCGCGCAGTGCAGGGATAGTCGCGGGGATGACGGCGAACTTGTAAAGAAGTCACAATGATACAGGCGTCGAGGGCGACCATGAGTGACAAGATGGAGGCTGTCGCCATGATAGCACGTTGACGCCCCGAAGGACTCCATTTGACCAGGCCGGAACTAAGTTCGTCGTCTTCTAGCCTGTCGGAATGGATAGGCTGTTGGCGGTGCATGGTCGGGGTTGGGTTGGAAGGCAGAGTACGATGTTGGGTAGAGGGTACCGGGGAAACGTTCTTATGCTGAGATCGTAGCCTGGAACGGATGACGGCCGTCTTTTTGTAGCAAGAGTTCATGTCGAAATACCCACCCGGAGATGTGCTAGGGAGCGTCCCAAGCGTCTCTAGCATTCGTGCGCCAGATCTGTCCACGACCGTTCAATAGGCACCCCCGTGTCGACTCAAAAGAGACTTCCTGCTTTCTTTCGTTACATTTCAAGAGTCATTTTTGGCTATTCGAATGGCACCATTGGGTGATATGCAGATGCTTCGAGCGTGAGCTTGCCACATCGGCTTTCGCAGACAGGTCGAACTTGGAAAACATTTAAGGCGCAGTAATACGTCCGAAGAATTGACCCGAAGCCTCGTCATGCTTCCTGCAAAATGAACGATTATGAAGTCTTTCGTCAGCTTGCTACACATCCTTTCACCTCCGCAACACTGGAGATGTTGCAATCCGCCTTGCGGGTCATCCGCAGGCGCTACCCGGTCTCTTTCAACGGAGACACCGGGACAGATAGTGCGGAGTTTCCACCACGGGAAGCCTTCGAGCAAACAAAGATGCCGTTTCATGTGACGAGCGAATGGATTGAATACATGAAGACTATAGGTAACTCCATCCATAACACAGCACAAGAGGTGTCGCCATCGTTGCGGCGTTTTGCCAGGGGCGACCACTCCGTGGATCACGACGTAGTCACCGATTATATCCGCCTGCTGCAATCATCTTATCCGTCGTCACACTACGCAGACCCTGTAATTTTCACGTCGAACGGCCTGGAAACAGCTGCTACGCTCTGCAGCACTTCCGGAGCCATGACGGTAATTCCATGCAACTACGAAGGGGCCTGGTGTGCGGCCGTCGCCTACGCAGATTGCGTACAGCTGTACGGAGTGCAGGCTGAAAGCAGCTCTACAATGGTAGAACGCTTACAGGATCTGTTTCCTGGCCGCAAAGTCCGCTTACCCGAGCCTCTTGTTGCAACACGACTCGAAGATACTGGAGTTTTGATGCTGCTGAGCATGCGAATGCTCGTCGGCGGAAGTGTGCCGGCGCAGTGTGCCGACGTCGCGTTTTTACAGCGTTCGCGAGCACGAATCTTCGTAGAGCTCTTAACCAAAAAGCTGGATGCAGAGGATCGCGATGTCTCCAGCCGGATCCAGGAAGCGCACGCGGAGGACTCTCTCTTTTTCGATGAAGCTTTCGCACACGGAGAAGACCTCCGCGTGCGGACCGACGCGATGATCCCAGCAGATATAGGAGATGGAGTCGACTTTACGCTTGGTGCCTCTCCCGACCCTGGAGCTTTCTCCTTCACGGGACTAGGCTCCGGCGTGACGACCAGTTTGTTGCCTCGGGCCCCGCATCATTCTTCGTCGTCCCCGCAGCCGGCCGGCCCTGCCTACGAGAAGTTCACCTCACTGCGCAGTGGGCGTACATTCGGCATAGGCACGTTCGAGATGCCTCCGACCATGTCTGGGGAATGCAAAACCATGCTCGCCATGATGAGCGAGGCCGTCGCCTTCTACCGAAGCTCTCGCCTGTCGGGGAACTCCGAACTTGCAGTGATTTGGTCCGCGATCAGGACCGGACAAAAGAGTGAGTTTTACCGCCGTTACGGTGGTGTGCTGTTCTACAGAGAGATGCTGCGGCTCAAAAGCGATCGGGAACTTGCCTTGCGCTTGAGGCTCGGCATAGCTCCGAGTGATATAAAAGAGATGAGACGCCTCCAGTCAAACTTTCGAATCTGGCACGACATTTGCCAGCTGCGCCATGACTGGGGGCCGGGTCAGTATGCGCTGCTTTGTGTGCTACCAGAAAGACCAAACGTAGAACGGATGAGCGAGAGAGAGCAACAGGTGCAGCTACGGAGACTCCAAGAGCGGCTTGACGATGATCGCGACCCCCTTTCAGAACAAGTAGACACCGCCAAAAACCTGTGCACTGCCCTAGTTCAGGGGCAAGTAGACTCCGACAAACGACTATTGATCGACGATTATCACTTCAAGGCTTATCAGGATCTGTCGGAGCTGGAGTTTGCTGCTTACATGAGCCTCGATCCACGGCCAGTCATTCCCATTGAACGGCATAGATCCTGATGGCACAAACTCGGGGCTTTTCCGCGACGCGGGCAAGAGATGGAAGCAAAGACAATCAGGAGCATAGTAGCAAAGTAGCAAGCGAAACTTCATTCCCTTTACAACTCTCTGATCTCTTTCTGCACGGACGTCTGTCTTCTTGGCACTACATACATATCATAGTTTGATCTCACACTGCTGTACTGACCCACCGTGGAGGCCCTGCTGACAGCTTTCGCCCCACCTCATCCAGGTCTTTGGAGATGTACGGAAAACGGAGGAATTCCAAATGTTTGCTTCTGCTGCTACTCTAAAAGTGCTTGTAGCCTGCTTGTGTTTACGTGGTGCTATTGGTTTTCCCCCGTTCCGTCTTACACAAAGGTGCCGTCATCTTTCACTTCAGATTACTTCATCTATTTCCCCTGTACGCTTTCAGACACCCTGCTGTGAGATCAGGACAGAATTCAGAGCGGATTACAATTAGAAGTACAATACATAGAGGTCAGGTTAATAGAAAGCCGAACGGTCGATTCACTCCGCATCTTGGCAGACTACTGGCCGTTATGTGACGCGGCGGATGGCTTACCTAACATTGCACCTGACGTGTACGAGCTTGTGCCAGTCGTGATGACTGCATTCTGGAAATCAGCAGCATCCATTTTTTCTTCCAGTGGTCCATACCCCAGTCGAGCGGGACTCTTGCCGCAGGGACCCGCGCATGTAGAGAGCTTCATTTGGCTTCGGTGTCATCAAAGGGTGAGTCTAGTTTTGCCGAACAGCCCTATTGGGTTTACCTGGCCACGGCCAAGACCATCAAAAGTGGGAAGCGGCCGTCTGCCTTGTGGATCCTGCTGAGCCGACGCCCTTTATCTCATGGCTATTAGATGTACAGTATGCACAATACTGTACATATCAACGCTGTCCGCTACGCACTCTCACTCCAGTGCCGAGATCTAACGAGACCGCAAAGAGGGCTGGTAGTTCCGTACCTAACGGCCCGAGCAACACCTAAGAGCGTGTAGAGTCTATTCCCAAATTACAAGCCACTCAACCAATCCATATTCGGCCGCGCCTGCCAGCCCCTCACCGCCACGAAAGCAAGAAACGGGACTCAAAGCAGTGTAGCGAACGGCCCTTTCTGGAGTGTTTGCCGGACGCCACGCAGTTGGCTTCTTGCTTCACGCTGAGCCAGAAAATGATTTCAGCCGTAATTCCACGACGGAGCAAAGATGTAAATGCGATATGTATGCTTGCGTCCTCTTTCGAACCTGTCTTTTGGGCTTCGATCACGCAACAACCACGTCTCCCCTCCTCCATACAGCGTCATGATTTCCAAGGTCATCATAGCGCTGCACGTCATCTTGACACTAGTCATACTCGCGTTGACCGTCAGGATTCTGCAGGATGAGCAGAACGAGGAGAGTGGCATAGTACAGATTCTGGTACGTGACCCATTACGACGACAATGCGGGACTAACGACAGTAAAGCTACGGAAAGAAGCGCGGCGCTTTGTTCAGGTTCCTGATGTGGTCGGATCTATCGCCACAGCGGTGAAAAGTGCGGCTTCCAGCGTGGTCACAGCCGCAGTTGCGTCGGGCGAGTCTCTAGTCGCCGCAAGCCTGCCGTCGCGCGTGTCGGTGGGCACAAGTACGCATGTGTGGATTCTGAATGCTCCGCTGTCCCTGGTTCCGCGTTCCATCTGGTCCAGTACTTGGTCTCGTTCCTTCCTTCGCCTGAGGAGGCCGAAACGTTACAGGAGTTGGTAGACAAATGCCCAAACCTGGAAACCTTTCTGTCCGCCGGGTTGGGATGTGCTCTTGCTTCGACCATACTGCTACTTTCCGGTCTCAAATTCAGGTTGCTCCGCTTCGTATCGCTTGGATTGGGTACCGTCTCTGTTATCCTGTTTGCAGTAGCCGCTGGTTTCGCGGTGTCGCTGTACAAGACAGCCGAGGCTGTGGCAGACCTCCTTGGTGTCGAGGCGAGCAGAGGAGACGTCTTTGAGGCATCCCTAGCAGACTTCGTAGCAAGCTTGATTATGACGGCGCTCGTACTCGTGGAGATCATCCTTTGAGAAGAGGGTTGTAAAGCTATCGATATGGAATTCCGACGGAGAATCGATGGAGTACCATACATATCTCTACGGGAGGGGCCCGATGCACGCGCTCGTAGTTGCCATGAAGTATCTCTAAAGACATCGCTCCTGAATATGTCGGTGGATATCGCGCATTTCCGAAACACCTCCGCATATCTGAACCCAACCCTGCCCAGCTATACCCTCAGATAACTTGGAGAAAGAATATGGCGTCCCGCCAAGAGCTATGGAAATTTTACTAGCCAATAACATAGGAAAGAATGCACTACAATTAGCAATTCCTCTATCAGTTTATGGATCGAGAACACTGGAGGCTCCGTTATAGCTGGGTAGATAGGTAGAAGTCCATACTTCCTTGGATCATTTATGACAGGCTCCCAAGTTACGAAAACTTCATCCTAGAAAGGCTTGCAGATTGACTGCAGTATTTCCTTTGTTCTAGATAGGCTACCTCGAGCTACTTTTAATACACTCATACATATATACCCATTGGTATGTGCCATAACTCGTGACACTACGTCTGTCGCTGGTGGAGTCGTCGCTGGTCGAAGGCATCCTTCCGGGAGTGGGACGGTGGATTGACGGCAGTAGAGTCTTCCCTACTCGGAGTCTAGGCATCCCTCAAGTTTGGGCAGCTATACATGAGTGAACTCGGCCCGAGGCCACCTCTGAGTGCGGTTCTAACATTAATATACAAGCCATGGTCTTAATTTAAGAGTAAACCCGGACACGTTTTCAGCCTCGCTTCTTAGGCGTTCAGTTCAACTTCAGACAAATAACAGAACAAGATCCAGATACAGTAACCCTGGCCCATACGGTACATGAAAAAGGTAACATGTATCTCTTGGCATGATTCCCCGGCTAACCGGGACAATATAAGAGCCATTATTTGCTACGAGAAAGAAACAGGGTCAGTCTCGAGCGAGTGGTTAACACGAGAGTCCTGACACCTTATCAGCAAGAAAAGACGAAAGTGGTTGAATTATCTAAGGACTTTTACAGCGATACTTGAGCAATCGAGTTCGGCTATTACTGCACAGTGATAGGAAGACTTTGCTTTCTGAGATCGGAGCTAAAACATACCCTGCTAGAGAAGCGGCGGCTCAGCCTGGCTGCGATCTTTCTTATATCTAAGCGATCAATAGCGGGGCTGGAAGTCGCGCCGGATCGCGACCCACCCGTTAGTGAACTCTTCGTGAGGATCAGGTTCGCTACCCGGCAGCCGGACCTTTTCCAGAAGGGGACGAAGCTCAACCCAAGTGTCTTCCCAACATCAAGCCATCCTCGTGACAATCCTGGTACTGAATACCTATCAGTAGCTGACTGCTCAATGCTCTATCGCAGCCACTTTTACAGACAATCAATCGTAAACTACGAGATACAGAGCTCTAAACATTCTAACTTGGTCCTATTTTGAAGCACGACGTGGAGAGAAAGATCAAAGGCCCAGCTATGATCTTCAGAAACCGTGCTCACTCCTTCTTTGGCTGCGCAGACGCCTTGGCCGATCCCACTAGCTTTTCTATGTTCTCTGTGAGTGCAATCATCATCTTTTTCATCTCCATTATCTCTTCTTCGAGACCTCTGACTCTATCCTCCTGCTGCTCGGGCGTGCGGTCAGTCTTGCCTGCCGCTTCATCCAGGCCCTGTTTTCGCACATCCAAATGTCTTTTGGCGGAAGAAGCTGCCTGAGCATTCTGCAGAGCCCTGCGACGAACGGGGTCCTTTTCCAGCCTTGAGGGGTCATAATACTCGCTGATGTAGCCGGCGTCCCAAGGCGGGGCGATGTTGTCTCTCCGACAGATCTTCTCGATCTCGGCTCTCGCACTCGAACGACCAAGGACCATGCTGAAGCTACTGACGGTAAGGATTTGAATGCCTTTGGTGCGGAACTTGACGCAGCAGTCTGCGGTGGGGTTTTTCTTCCTGGCCGCAGTATTCTTGCGCTTTATGTGGGACTCGGTGACCCAAAGGAGCTCTTCGAAGTCGTTGCGATCATCACAAGACCATTGAGATTGGCCTTCCGCCAGATTCTTGTAGCCATCTATTTGACGGTACCTTTCCACCTCCAGGAGTCCAGCTTCAGACGCTGACTGAAGACGGCGAATGACTCGTCCGTCTTCTTCCCGCATCTCAACGCACACCTGGTGCCCAAATTGCCCTTGTTTCCGCACACCTATGATGAGGGAGCCATCAGCCGCCTGGGCTGTGGGCCACAGGTATTGGATGACGGCCTGACTTTCAGCAAGTCTCTTGGCTTTGGCCACCTCAGCTCCGTTTCCTGTACCTGCAAATAAACACCGCATGCAGGACTCTCCAGTCTCGCGGAAAGTGATTCCTTTCAATGAAGTCGTCGATTACTTTCTTTTCGGCAGCGATGACATCCCTGGCTTCTTGGTTCGATCTGTCATTTAGAAGGATCTTGTAATTATCCCGGACGAGGTTGAAATGGGTGCCGAAAAACTGTAGAGAAATACACCAGCGGTCTGGAGATATGTCAGAATCATCAGCACCTGAAGCTTCCTTCTCTGCTGCGTTGAAGTCAGAGATCAGCATGTTGAAGTTGTGTATCTCCTTCCGCGCGACCGGATCGTCAGGATTTCCCCTCAGACGATGAAGCGAAGGTGTTGCTTTGTCAAAGATGTCCCTCACGCTTGCGGTGGAACGGGAATGGGATCAACTTCCATCGGGGATTCATCTTCTAGGTCTGGAAGCTTCTCGCCGTCCCAGTTGACCACTTCGTCTATTTCGAGGTGGTTCACGCTCAGCTCTTGGGCCGCCACATGAAGTTCTTTTACAGCCACGTCAGCATGCAACCAAGATTGTGAGCCAAGTCATCCCTACTGTGAAAAGCCTTGTCAGCATTCTGATGATCAGTGACACTCGCGTGCAGAAGGCACCCCAAGCGTCTCCAGGCGATCGCCGTCTCCTTTTCCGTAGCGTCCGGTCTGACTTCCAGGATTTCCGCATAGGAATCATCGGCGCAACCAAGAATGCGCTGAATCTGCGCTGGAACCTCGCCGACGTGTGCACCGGCGCCACTTTGGGGCTGAGTAGCTTTGTCTACGTCCATGTTGCCCGTGCTGCCCGCGGGAACATCGGGAAGCTGCTGCGCTGTAGCAGCGGTTCTCCTTCGTTCAGCCTGGATCCTACCATCTTCGACCTCCGGAGTCGCTTCTGGCGACGGCAAAGGCAAAGTTGGTCTGGGGGCGGGGCCTTTGATGGCTATAGGCGTCACGGGGTTCTGTGGAATGTTTTGGCTCTCTGTAGACATGATTGATCGCCGGCGGATGATGTGGTTTCAGGAAGAGAAGACTGCGGTGAGCGACGGTGTCTCCGCGGCCCTATATACCTCGGGCGAGTCCAGCACCGCGGCGAGTATTGGAGATTCTACTAAAAACGGCACGGCACCTCCGTTAAAAGCCGTTCTGGGCTTCATCGTGCAACTAGACGTTCAGGGAGCACCTGCTATTGTACTGTATACTGTACTGGGCCGAGAATGACTTGAGCCGGAGATGACAATACCGGATGAGACGACGGGGCGCAAGTCCACTTCTGTCCAGATACGGCACTAGAATTCACGATCCCTGATCTGAAGACCGAGCCCTAAGCCACTTATGACTGTTCGTGAACCCGTAGTTGAGAACGGCTGAAGCAAGAAGCAACTTTCCTGCTTGGCTGCCTAGTCAGTAAGATTGACAGCTACTCGAAAGACGCGGTCCGGTCAGTGTTGTCCCGAACCAGCCCCTCCATTGTCCACCTGCCCGACGAGGGGAGGAGGAATGGAACGTCAGTGTTACGTCCAGAACTCTTGGGGTGAAGAGACCGCCGGGAGCAACTAAAAAGATTCGCCAGCACATTTCAAGCGATTCTCTTAGCTGTTTCGTAACTTACCTTAATCAAGGCATCCCTCAAAGCCATGCAAGACTCGGAGTTTCGTCTTGTCATCATCTACTCTGTTTCCGCTCTCGGCCTTTATCTCCTCTTTCTGTGTCTTCGATTTCGATCCTGGCTATCAAAACTGGCATCTGTCGTGCGAGTTCCTCTTCTCAGATACCTCGTCTATCCGACCATCTACGCTGAGTGGAGTTGGGCGGATATCTTGGCTTCGGCAGCTTACCTGGCGTTGAACATCCTTTGTCTCTGGTTTCAATGTCCCTCACTCTCCGATGCCGGGCGACGCGCGGGTTACCTGGCTCTCATCACCATGGTTTTCCCGTTTTCGGCATGGCATCTTGACTCGCTCACCGGTTTGCTTGGTCTTCGATGGCGCTCGGTTCGTCGTCTGCACGGCTTGACGGGCACGATGGCTTCGTTGCTACTCTTATTCCATGCAATCACTGCTCAGATATCTTCCACAACGTTCCCGATGGATACGTCTGATAATAGAGGGGCAGTCATAGTAGGCTATCCAAGAATGGAGACCTACGTTCCGAGAGACCCATTATTGATCATGTATGGCAGGCGGCGTCAGCCATCGGGGGTCTTGTCCTTTTCTCTGTCCCAACAATCAAAGATAACCTCTACGAAATGTTCATCCGCCTCCACCAAGGCATGGCAATATTGTCCATCTACGGTATTTGGGAACACTTGGCTGCGCAGTCGGTCTTTGCGCGCCTGCTGCTCTACGTATCGGTTGGCGCATCTGCTCTGTCTCTACTATTGCTATCTGGCCTGGTTATCTACCGCAACGGACTTCTATTTCATGGCTTCCCTCGGACATCGATCAGCAACTCCGGCGACGTGATCATTATTGAATTGAGACTGTCACGTCCTGTCGTCGTCGACGCCGGACAGTCTATAAGTCTGTGGATGCTCACTCCCTCGGCGAAGCTTCGATCACTGTGGCAAACCCACCCCTTTGTGGTCGCGTCGTGGTCTGCCTCGCCTGCCGACACGCTTCATTTGTTGGTCGAGCCTCGCTCGGGCTTGACCGAAAAACTCCTCCAGTTCAGTAAAATGCAGAAGGTGCAGCAGACTTGCCCTGCCCTCTTTGGTGGTCCGCACGGCATGAGCGTCCCCGTCACTGACTACGATGTTGTCCTCATGGTAGCCAGTGGTTACGGCATCGCAGCGCAGCTACCCTACTTGAAAAAGCTCATTTACGAATTCAACAGTCGTAAGGCCCGTACTCGCCGCATTCACCTGGTGTGGACGCTGGACACCATTGGTACGATGTTCTCGGCTCGGATCGTCCGCCTGACTAACATGCCTAGAACTGGCCGTTGCTATCAAGCACCTACTGGATAGTGCACTGAGAGAGGATACTCTAGATGACGGATATGTGAGTGGAGCGTCAGAGCTCACGGTGCGGCGGCTTACTCATGCTAGATCTTGAAGATTTCAATATTCGTCCGGCACATATCTCAGGGCCATGACATAAGTTCTCGAGCTACGATCGCGAAGGGCGCTCCTGATTTCAATGCGATCATTCGAGAGGAAGTCGAAGGCAAGTACATTCGAAGAGTCCAGGACAATGAGAAGGGAAGGGAGGGCATGATAGTCTTGGGTAAGCCAGCTCCCCAACCTGCTCGTGCTCTTTCTCATTCACATAGCATCGGCCTCGACTGAGGTAAGGCATACTTTGCGAAAGCTTGTTAGGGGATATTTGGGAAGCAAAGTCGACATGACAGAGTTGGACTACCAACCTAGGAGATAGTGCGATCTGTTTCTCTTCCGTGCGTCTAAGCACAGCAAAATTCAGGTTTTGTTTCTAGAACGCCATGGTCTTTCTTCTCATCTATATCTATTCGGATGTGCTGCAGTGGCGGCGCTTGAGGGATTTCGTCCAATTGCCGCAACATTACCCATTTCGTTGGCTTGCATCACTATACGTGGTAGACACTTACTGCACTGGACGGTTAACGAAGCCTGGCATATGCTTGTCGTAGATGTTGTTGTTGTTGTTGTATTTAACGCCGTGGCGGCCGGGCTAGAGCCCTTACCGCAGACCTCCCGAAGGGTATATGGCGTGGAGGGCCGTGAGCCAAGGCTACCTACTCTACAGTACGTCGTCTCTTTACATCGTCCTCCAAATCATGCCTTGTGGCCACTACGCGTTCTGTCTGTCCCCGGTTCCCGCTGGTGCCCCAGTTTCATTCTTTCCCAAATCGTCCCTTGGAATCGGGAGGTTCTTTGTAGTCCGCACTCACATCTACGTAGGTGTGGATGCTGCTACCGCAGACAGATCTTCTGGAAGAAGTCCGTCACGCGGAGAAAGGCCTCGAAGCCTCGTGGGTCGGTGATTAATCTCTTGAAGTAGGCCTCGAGAGATCCCATAGGGCCTATGGGCTCGGGCATACTGCGAGAGTGGAGGGTCGGCCACCGTTGCCTCCTCGCCATGCTTGTCGTAGAGAACTGAGGGCTTATTAGCTCTGCGTCATCGAACCTTTGTACCGCGGTTTGCTTTGGAGGACTAGTGACGATGGAATGAGGGCACTGGGCCCGAACACGATAGCGCACACAGGCCGACGTAGCAGGAAACAGACGTGTGCGATGACTGGCATTGTGTCAAGACATCGGTATTTTCCTTATATTATTGTTATTCTTTCCCAAGGTAAACAAATAAATTATCTGAATGCTTGTTTCTTCTGTTTCAACACTATCTTGCCATGGTTGATCGAACCCACTTGGTGAGGACGAACAACGAGAATCGTGTTTGTTCCGTTCGCCGTCACCCTCTTGAAGCATGTTTTGGGAGTCAAGTAGTTGTAACTGGTATCGACCAGGCAATACTGCTTCCACACGTACTTTTCCGCTGTCCGTTGGACTTCTAATGAATCGGACGCGCTGGCGGAGACTTCGCCGCAACTGACCCACTGACCAGAGTCATCTACCCAGAAGAACTTGATGGTGATTGTCTGCTGATTCGATGAAGCGTCTCCGCCAGGACCGTTGTCCATATCCAAGGAAATTCCCTCTTGAACTCTGTCGAAATCGAAACGAGTAACTCTGCGGGGTCGTTTTGTGGGTCTAGGGCTACCTTCTTCAGGACGACGGCCTGTTAAGTCCGCAAGCGATGGTGTTTCTGGCATCGAGTTTCCGGTCTCGATCGGTACCATTCTCGTGTCGTTTGAGTGCTGGTCATCAGACTCTCGCACCCTGATCACCAACTGGCCTCGCCCAGGGTCTTGCTCACTGGCAGCTTGGTCGACACTACTATTGAGCTGGTTCAGGCGGTCCTGTTGCTCCTGCACTAGCTGCCGCAGGTGGTCAAGCTTGGCCTGCTCGATTTGAGAAAGCTCATTGAGCTGATCGAGCCCCGATTGCGCCTCTGCCTGTGCCGCCGTACTCGTGTGTGCTTCAAAACCGAGAGTCGCTCTATCTGCGGGACTGACTGCGTTGATCCCCAGATCAAAATGATGTGTTAGCTGCTGGTCGGCAGCAAAGTGTGCCAGGGATAGGGGGAGGCCGAAGTACGACAAGTAAACTGATTTTCGTATGAAAAACGAAGTAACCCGTGTTTGCCCGGCGTTGAACTCTGAGAGTACACTAGGAAGAAACAGTCTCGGTTGGTCGCGGTCGTGATCGTTGCTGCGAGGAATCCCACAACGGATCGGCGGCTCCGCGCACAGTTCGCTCAGACCAGACTCAGACGCCGCCTCTGCAGCAGACAGTGGCTGTGCCGTTGCCAATATCTCCGTCACTTTGTGTATGCATTTGTCCAGATCGGGAAAGCGATACTGCCCTGGCCTCCTCGCCGAGAGCAAGAGACGTTTGGCGACTTCAATATCCGGGGACGCCTTCATAATGTTGCTTATCTCGTTCGATTCGAAGCCCAGTCTGTTCGCAAGAGAAGCGAACTGGAAAAGCGTCGTCTCGTCTGCTCTCCCGCGAGCCTTTGCAAGTGTGTCCTTTTTCTTCACCTCCGTCGGCAGTTCCCGGAACTCTCGGAAGGCGGCAAGCCATAACTGCCGGCAGCCAAGGTCGAAACGGGTTGCCGCATCTCCCGGAACGGTCACATATGCCGTCGGAGACAGCTGTACTATGCACCGATCAGCCTGCTGGTGTGAGTCCAGAAACATCTCATCCAGGCGGCTCGAAACCGTAACTTTGGAGTCGACGCCTGTCAGCCGTCTCATGCAGTCGGCGGCAGCGCGAAGGAACTTTCGGTCCTCAAAGAAAGTGAAGAGCGACGGTATCAAATGTTGTCGCGAGACGTTACAGACCCGAGCTCTGATTTCTTCTCGTTGTTGCTCGGAGAAGTTTCCAAAGATGCGCCCACTGCTGAGGTCGCTCAGGAGCTCGTCGTGGTCCGCACTGAACGATCCGGGCGCTTTTCCCTGTAAGCGCTCTATGGTTGGTCGATCGATGAGCCGCATAGCCCGGGAGTCGTCGCCGCATATCTCGCTCCAGACCTTGAGAATGTGTTGCAAGTAATGTAAGTTAGGCTACCGCTGGTCAGACGTTGGATTGCCATCGATGTGGGTTGATGTTGTACCTCTTCGCACCTCATGCATATGACCTGGTGTACCACGGTGAGTCGAAATCCGCAAAAGAGCGCGGGGACAGCCAAGAGTGCGTCGAAGGCGTCGGTGTATTTCTTGTGGCGGAATAGTTGATCTAGAAGGTGTCGACGGTTCTTGGAGAGAGCGGCCAGCCGTCCCAGCCAGATCCTCTCAAAGAAAGGGTTTCCGTCGCCGTGATGTCCCTGGTATCCCCGAATCTTGCAGTAGAACTCGCCATCGTCGGGTTCCTTTTGGTACTCATACTCTTCGACAAAAAGCGTCCGCAGATCGTCGCTCAGATCTCTGTAACGTCAGCGGGCTCCACCGCGGTGTCTGCCTTGCGAACGCACCGTCTAGATACAGGTCGACTGTCCAATGCTTGTCCGCCCCGTCGAACACGTCGTCGGCTGCCATGATACGATCTGACCCCTGGAGGCATTCGAGCTGCACACCAGGCGGTAGCCCGAGAACTGGGTAGGGCAACGCATCGCTCTGGAGCCGAGAGGCCGTGATCCCTGCGTTCGTCAGGGCGGCTTCCAGGTCGAATTGACTGATTGTCGCCTTTGCATGGTGTCGATGATCTTCTTGTCGGCACCCATGCTCCTCTCGGTATAACCTCTTGAGCGGTTCGGAAACGGGCCGACGAACGCGGTCCGCCGTCCTCGGCGTTGGCTTCAATGACGATATACTGATGCTGGCAGTACCGCAGAACTTGGCGCGACGCTCGTCTTCAAGTCGCCGATTGACTTGGGTGAAACTGCCTTCTACCATTGCGGCCTCTCTGTGCGTACGAAGTGGGTTCGGGAGCCAAGAGGTTGAATCTACGGGAAACCGATGGGGAGTAGAGCGAGATGACTCCCACACTTTCAGGTGGTTAGTTGATTCGTGTTGCGAACTCCAAACTCGGCTTCTGGCAGATTACCCTTGAAGGAGCTGGAAACGACGCTCATCGACTCTAGTGCATACAGTAGAAATCGAAATCGGTTTCCTTCTATGCGGGCAGTATTTGATCTGCGCACAGATGTTTGTAGATCCGTTTGCTGACAGGGTACATGACAAGGCTCTGGCGGTACCTTCTTGATGACCTCCATCGCCGATGTCAGAAATTGCTCTTACACTGTGCTCGTAATCAGATCCATGTTGCATGATACAATATCCAAAAACGGCGATGACAAGTGCAGTCTCTACAGTACGCAACATGGATCTAAAATGAGAACACAGTAGAGACGCGATTCTGACCTTGCTGTGGAGGTCATCGATGAATGTACTTGATGGGTCTCGATATGTATCCCGTCAGCAAAAGGATCCACAAATGTCTGTACGCAGAACAATTCCTATCCGCAAAGACGGAAACCAAATTCGTCTTTTACTGTATCCGATGTCACTTTTCTTCTTTTGTCTCTGTTGCTCTTTCCTTTCCACGTAACTATGTGTTTTCCGTTTTCCCCTTTCCTCTTCTTTTCAACAGAGCCCCCGACGTCAATCTCGAAACTGTTCGCCAAATGGAGCTTCTCAGGATCGTCAAAGCCAGACAAGATGGAAGCTCTGGGGCAGCCACTATTCTGATCAAAGCGGCATCGCCGTGGCTGCCTACGAGAAAATGTACCGACAATTGCTCGGAGACGACGACATTGTTCTTGTTGCCGAGAAGAGAGGGATATCTGGCGATGTAGTACAGTAGAAATCGAAATCGGTTTCCTTTTTCATAAACAGAAACTCTTCTGCGCACAGACTTTTGTGGATCCCTTTGCTGACGGGATACATGACAGGGCCCCGACGGTACCTTCTTGATGACCTCTATAGCCGAAGTCAGAAATTGCTTTTACACTGTGTTCGTGGATTAGACCCATGTTGCATAATCCAACATCCACAAACGGCGGCGATAAGTGCAGTCTACGATTTGTGCCACTTCATTACGTCCCTTGTCTGCATATACAGAATTGGCTGTGTCAATACGTTCGTCTGCTGATTACTACTGGATGTGTTTGAGGTCAACCTCCCAATTCTGCTTCAAACCAGATTACGCTGAAACTATAGCACCAAGATGTTTGCTTTGACGCCAAACTTCTGATTTGCACTGATCCACCACCTATTCTTGCTTCGATCACCTGGCTTAGGTCCCTATAACTATGGTTCTCCCATGGGAAAATGTCAAAGCATCTCTTCATATACTTGAGGCTGTAATCTGCAGGCTCGCCGAAAAAGGACCACCGCGGACAAGGTCTCTCGAAGCGCAGGTTCATTTTGATGCTGCTCGATCTGCAAATACATCGGCCTCAGAATCACGATAGTCCGCTGATAATCTAGCCAGGCACGATTATGTGTTAACGCAAGTAAGACATCTTCTGTTGACGGTTGCACCATGGCACCCAACATCGCTGCATCGCAGCATGATGATCCGGGACATGATATCTTCCGGCGAATTCACCAACAATAGCATAGCAGAGGCCGCAGGATGTAGCGCGCGGACGGTGCGTAATATTCGAGCGAATCTTCAGTGCTTTGGGAACACAAGAGTCCTCCCAACGGAGCCGGACGCCGAGGTATCACGCCGCCTATGCTGAGTGCTTTGTGCGACCGGCTGATCGAAAAGCCGACCTCTACCAAGATGAGATGATTGTGTTCCTTTGGGGTTTCGAGACTCTGGTGACGGCTTCAAGCATCAGTCGTGCTTTGCTTTAGCTGGGTGGAGCAAGAAAGTGGCCCGACGTGTTGCTCAAGAGCGAAACGCAGATCTGCGGGACTTCTATCTCCACGGGCTGTCGGCTTTCCGATCCTATCATCTAGTCTTTGTCGACAGTCGGGGTGCGATAAGCGTGCTGGCTTCCGGCGGACTGGATGGTCCCCTTTGGGGGTAACCCCAGTTCAGGTTGCTCGATTCCATCGCGACCGACGGTACCTGGTCTTGCCTGCTTACACACAAGATGGCATCATCTACTCGCGTGTCTTTCAGGGCACTACCGATAGTGAGGTGTTCGAGAGCTTCATTGAGGAGCTTCTCCCTTTCTGTGGGAGATGGCCTGAGCCGAAGTCCGTAATCATCATGGACAATGCTTCTTTCCATCACTCCGAGCGGATTCAAGAGCTTTGTGCCAAAGCAGGTGTTGTAGTCCATTTTCTGCCACCATACTCTCCCGACCTCAATCCGATCGAAGAGAGTTTTGCAGAGCTCAGAGGTTTCATTAAGCGACACTATCAACAGCACGACGGCCTGCCTGAAGCGGACTTCGCGGGGTTTCTGGAGTGGTGTGTGAAGACGATTGGCGCTCGGAGGTCAAGCGCCAGAGGTCATTTTCGAAACGCCGGAATCTTTATTGAAGAGCCTTGAAGAGGTGAAAGAGAAAACCCATTCTAGAAGAATACCTAATGGCCTTCACGCTCATCCGTAGGTTTCAACCCACTTTCCAATATCACGGACGAATCGTCGCGCTACGCCGATCTTGACGCCCCGTTCCATAAAAAAGTCAGGCTCTTGATCTTGGTGCACCTGCTCAAGATCAAGGCCATGATCAAGGGTAACACCGTACGCCTTCCAAAACTCCCTCTTGAGCGTCTCGCTCTCCACCTGCGAGCACTGCCATTCGCAGTATGATCGCACGGCCACATCTCTCGGCCCCGCAATCTCCAAGGCCAAAACAACATTGCAGCAGACGGGAGGCGAGGCTGCGAGCGGAGTTGCAGCGCCCGCTGGGGATGTGAGCGGCGAGGAGGCTGGCATCACGTTGGTGATGTTGATCGGCGGGTAATTGCTTGCCGATGAAGAATTGGTCTTGCGTTGTCGTTCTGCGTGTTGCTGCTCTCGGCATACAGCTGGTCGCGGATGTGTTCGGGCATGTCACCGGGAATATTAAACACACCGCCCTGCTCTACGTGTCGAACGATGGCCCTAAAATTATGAGACTTCAGCTTGTAATGCTTTTTGCCCGCGCCAACATCGATCCAGCAGTGCGGCCCAAGATTACATGGCGCCCAGGACATCGCATCAAGGCGTAGACCCGCCGCCAGATCGACGCCTGGCCTGTAGAACTCTCTTCAGCATCGAGCTGAGCTGCTCGTTCCTGCAGTCTGTCCTGCGTGATGGAGGAGAAGCCACGCTTAGTGCCTCGCTGCACAGCAGTAGAAGACCCAGATTCCAGATAGTTAAAAATATCTGGACCCTGTGTTCTCTCCCGGCACGGAAAAGGTGGCTCCAAGCCTTGAGCTGTCTCTCCACGACAGGCCAGTCAATATCGAGCTCGTCGAATCGCTTGACAAGGTCACGTTGGGAGCGATCTCGCACGGACACAATTACGTTGGTATCATCTATGTTGAACGACTTGTTGGATGGCAGCTTCTCTTTCACTAGCTTGTCGAGCTTGCGGTACAGGGTTTCTTCCCAAAAGGCATTCGGCGCAAGGACGAGGTCTGGTTCGCTATTTTCGACACTACTCTGTTGTTTGCTGTCAACTTCCACTCAATAGTATAATGGATACAGGTTGGCGGTTGCTCATCGTAGGTCTCGTTCTCGTCCCAGTCAGCCAGCTGTAGCAAGGGAAGTTTGCCATTCAAAGCCGATGTGTGGCTTGGAGTTGGGCTTAGAGAGACTGTCTGAGCATCCTCTACGTCAATCACCACGGGGCTAGCGGTCATGCGTTGAGCGCCTCCGGCATGGCCTACATCTGGGACCGCGTCTGTCGCATCGAAGTCTGGCCAGTCATATTCGTCAAATGACATATCGAACGCCAACGCAGACGAAGGCATATGGATGAGAATACTGATTTGGGGAGAGGTATCCTAGTTGGTGTAAAAGCATCGTCTCCACGCGATGCTGGTCCGTCTTTGGGGAGTAACCTTGAAGTTGTCAAGCCAGACGACGTTCTAGAAGCTTCCATCATTTAGCGACATGAAACGGTTGTAGGGCAATTGCTGTTAGTTGGATACGCGGAAGATAGTTTTTCCTCCTTTGTCGGTGGAGTTGAGTGGTGGCTTAAGCCAATCAGTCGAGTTTATTGTTCCACTCCAATCAATCACCCCTACTCTCCAATCCCACCGCTTTCGCTGATTCCAGATGACCCCTCATATTGTGATGCCAATTGAAGTTCGAAATTTCCACATTTCCCCGCCCTGCCTTCTGCCCTCGATCGTCTGAAGACCATCATCTCAATTCTAATGAACAAGGGCCCTGCAACAAGATTGGAGCGGGCCGGACCGAAACACGCCGCCATGTGGCCATAGCCTTCAGCTCCGTTCCCACCGTTGAAAGTACTATCATAACGTCAGTGCTATCTTTCGAGCGACAACCTTGTCGTTAACGAGCCTAGATGGTCGTGGCATCTGGGATCTCCAATCTGTGGTTCCTTGTCATTTGGAGGAGACTACAATCCAAAAAGCATCGCGTCCCGAAAACAAAGATATGCTTTGAGTTCATTGGCAGAAGTGGTCCTGGAGGGTCATGCGACTCGCAACTCATGGAGCTGATCTCAGCCGCTATTGCACTAGAAAACGGGTTGTCGTTTTGAACACCCGATACCCACACTTGGCAACAGCAACCAATCACGCAAACATCAGCACTTAGTGTTATCTCGGATGGCATTTGGCCTGCAGGCTGGACAATGCCATATCACGTTGCCCCACGGCAAGCTGAGGCCGTATCTCTCTGTCGCACCATGCTGTCCTAACGGAGCATGGAGTTTCATGAAACAGAATGCTCAATGACACGTTGTCTGCTACATCCTACGCGTCCGTAGTTTCGCATTGCTACTTTTGCTGGCATCCGCCACTGAAACTGACGC